CGGAATGTTCAAGCTGTATCATACAGACAGAATGTTCAAGCTGTATCATACAGACAGAATGTTCAAGCTGTATCATACAGACAGAATGTTCAAGCTGTATCATACAGTCAGAATGTTCAAGCTGTATCATACAGACAGAATGTTCAAGCTGTATCATACAGACAGAATGTTCAAGCTGTATCATACAGACAGAATGTTCAAGCTGTATCATACAGACAGAATGTTCAAGCAGTATCATACAGACAGAATGTTCAAGCTGTATCATACAGACAGAATGTTCTCCTTGGTTATTTGGTGATTTGTTGCCTTGTGATCCCGTCTTGCTAAGTCTTCACCACTGTCACATTGGGACTGCCTTGTGATCCCGTCTTGCTAAGTCTTCACCACTGTCACATTGGGACTGCCTTGTGATCCCGTCTTGCTGAGTCTTCACCACTGTCACATTGGGGCTGCCTTGTGATCCCGTCTTGCTAAGTCTTCACCACTGTCACATTGGGACTGCCTTGTGATCCCGTCTTGCTGAGTCTTCACCACTGTCACATTGGGTCTGCCTTGTGATCCCGTCTTGCTAAGTCTTCACCACTGTCACATTGGGACTGCCTTGTGATCCCGTCTTGCTGAGTCTTCACCACTGTCACATTGGGACTGCCTTGTGATCCCGTCTTGCTAAGTCTTCACCACTGTCACATTGGGGCTGCCTTGTGATCCCGTCTTGCTAAGTCTTCACCACTGTCACATTGGGACTGCCTTGTGATCCCGTCTTGCTAAGTCTTCACCACTGTCACATTGGGGCTGCCTTGTGATCCCGTCTTGCTGAGTCTTCACCACTGTCACATTGGGGCTGCCTTGTGATCCCGTCTTGCTGAGTCTTCACCACTGTCACATTGGGACGGGCGGGTGGTGCTTTTTTTTTTTCTTTTTTTTTTTTGCTGGCCCAATTTGACGATGGTGTGCAATTTGTAGGACGAAACCCACATGGCCTCGGATTATTCTTCAATGATTATAAGCTGGTTCCCAACAGCAAATCGCCTCTCTCCACGCCGCTGGGTAACCCAAGGGAACATCATTGGATAATACAGCTTGGCACCAGTGACGTCGCAGGAGTTGTCGGAATTTTTCATTATATCAATGTTATCCGCCTACGGGACTCCATCTCCGGGTTTGAATTCAGAGTTCCCTTCTCTTAGTTGAGTAGCCATCCGAGGTTAACCAGTCCCATCTAACCGGGTCGCTGGTGAAGTTTTTGCTTGACTGGGCATTGACTCATTCGGTCAACCTGCACCCTATGGTGATTAGAAAATAAAGATTTTTTAAAAAAATGTAGTTACTTGCTTTTGTTTCAACGTTAATGCTAGTGGGATCCACGTATTAAAAAAGTATTTTTTATTGCCCGGTGACAGGGTGCTAATCTTATGAGCTGTTCGCTGTTACAGTGTATTAATCCCATGAGTTATTACATGTGTTAATCTAAAAAGCTATTTCCTGTGACAGATTGTTAATGTAATGAGCTATTCCGCGTGACAGGTTGTTAATCTTTTGAGCTATTCCATGTGACAGGGTGTTAATGTTATGAGCTGTTTGCTGTTACAGTGTATTAATCCAGTGAGTTATTCCATGTTACAGGTTGTTAATCTAATAAGTCATTTCCTGTGACAGGTTTTTATTCTGAGGATCTATTCCCTGTGTCAGGGTGTTAATCTTTTGAGCTATTAAATGTGACAGGGTGTTAATCTTTTGAGCTATTCAATGTGACAGGGTTTTAATCTTTTGAGCTATTCAATGTGACAGGGTGTTAATCTTTTGAGCTATTCAATGTGACAGGGTGTTAATCTTTTGAACTATTCAATGTGACAGGGTGTTAATTCAATGAGCTATGATTTGAACAGAAATTGTTAGATGAAGACCGATCAAGTACATATCAATACCTTTTCATTCATCATAAGGTTCTTGTATTATTTTATATTACGCTTATGAAAACTATTTAATATGAAGCATTTGACCAACCCTTTCATTCAGCAAAAGCTTCATCTTTTGAGCATCTCCTATATAAGCTCATTTTTTTATAAACAATTTATTTATCCCAAGTAATAATTAGTCGCACAAAATAATACTTCCAGAAGTTCTGTCGCCCCTCTTTGGTGGGTTAATTTTAGTTAATAATAAAGTGGTTTACAAAAACAAACAAATTGATGTCATGAATAGGGTAACTTAAAAAAATACTCTAGAATCCAGAAATGTTATGTTTCATATCGCACAATGGTAAAACAAATGTTGAAATTAAAAAGGCTGTAACCCAAAAGTGACCGAAACATTACATATTACCTGTCCACACATTAACAGCCATTATGTTACCTGTCCACACATTAACAGCCATTATGTTACCTGTCCACACATTCACAGCCATTACACATTACCTGTCCACACATTCACAACCATTATTCAATCCTCTAGTTAACTATTCGCGTTTAAAAAATTGATAAAAAAATTATATTTCTTAAATTTGTTTTTTAAAATTGAAATGGTTATATTTTCTTTTTAAAAAGCCTAAAAATTTCACTAAGAGAAAAGTTAGTTTTTTTTAAAACTTCTACTGTTAATTCTTCTTATTTTAAAACTCTTGAAAAAATAATGTTCGAGTCCGAACAATGACCACTAAATGAAGATTAAACATATAAAAAAATATCCACACGTCATGACTTCAAGGTTGCAAAATATTTTTTAAAAAAGATAAACCATGATTATGTCAATGAATATGTTAACTATGTTACATTGGTTAGATGGGAATACGAGTGCCCGATAGATTCTGTGAAAATCTTCACGCTTGAAGAAAATGAACAAAACAAAAATATAACCATTAATGTTCTGATATGATCATTATTGCAGTACTAACATACTCGCAGGAGTGAATACTGAGAACATTATGTTTGGGTAAAATAATACCATATGGCAGTAGTTCTCAAATTATTATTTTTTTCAGTGCTCTGGCTGAATCCGAGTCTCCAATAGCCTGTCAAATTTGAAAAATGAAACTTCGATTTTTTTCAAATTGTCAAATGTTAAGTAATTGTAGGAGCCCCAGCAAATCAGTTGTTTGTAAGGGAGGTTCTGGTAAAATCCATTCTTAAAGAAATATGGCATCTATGACTACTACTTATGGCAACTCATGTTCTCTTGTCTTGATCAACTTTAATATTATAACCATTTTTTTCGTACTCTCGCCCACACACTGAAGCACCAGAAAACACCGTATTACGACGAATCCATTTATTTTATCATAAAAATAAACAAACATTCTTTTTTAAATCTAAAATATTTCCTTAGCCCCAATTGAAACCAAATTCCTTTAAATACGAAATTACATCATGCCATCTTACAACATTACCATACAGTTGTAATGCATTCATTATATACAGTTCAAGCAATATACAAATAGGTTTTCATTGCTTAAACAGGAAATCACAAGCTGATATCCTGGCAACATTCGCATGGTATGAACTGTGACTGCAAAATGAAGGTGAATCACCAAAGTCAAGTGATTGCAAATTTTCTCACAAAAATGAGAAGTCTTCAACATTCTTAAATAACAAATTCAAAATGAAATTCTAACAAGAGCATAAAAAAATAATTTTGCCAGAATCACAATATGCAAGCATAAAACAGAAGGATCAAATACAAATTTCAATAACAGAGCGTTCCGTAGGTAAAATACCTTTGCATTACAATCATATTCACACAAATATAAATATATGTGGCGTTTGTTATCTGTACAGCTATTGAGATATCTGAGAAGAGATTTTTTATCCATCGCTCCCTCTCTTACTATTTATCACCCTCTCTTTCTTTCTTTCTCTGTCTCACCCTTTCTCTGCCCCCGTCTCTCTCTCTCTCTCTCTCTCTCTCTCTCTCTCTCTCTCTCTCTCTCTCTCTCTCTCTCTCTCTCTCTCTCTCTCTCTCTCTCTCTCTCTCTCTCTCTCTCTCTCTCTCTCTCTCTCTCTCTC